TGTGACAGGTCTTTGTTAAAATCCTGCTCATTAAATTTTTTGCAGGATCTAAAATTTACATATTTAGATTGGGTCAAGTTACATTGTTCTTTAATGGTTGTAGCAATAAAATTGTGACAGTCACTCAGTCCTGAATCAAAATTTATGGTATTACAGATTAGATTTGGTCTATTTGTCAGAATAACATCTAAATATGATGGCTCATAGTTTTTCATTTGGCATGTTGGTCCTTTAATGACATTATTTAAGTTATATGTGTCACATATTTGAGTGAGGGGTTTACATTTGTCAGGTTTGTTTAAGTCATAGTTCAAGTCACCTATTGTTAAAATATGGTCATAGTTTAAGAATAATTTGTCTAAAGAAACAGTAATATTTTCAATAAAAACATTATCTTTTGTATTTGGGGGTTTGTAAATAGCTAAAATACCCCATTTTCGTTTTGCCATACAAAGCTCAAAACACATTGATTCTAAAGACTCACATTTAAATTCTTTCCTCCTTCTAAAAGGTAGGTTCATCTCTTACATATATATCAAAATCCACGCACCATGTTTGTTTCTATCTTTTCTCTCCATCTTATAACCTGGAAAATTATAAATATTATTATTGTATGAGTTATCAAGTTTAGTTTTCTGATAGTATTAACATATCAACAAGCTTTTCTGATAAAATATCATGAATTTCTGTAAATTTGTTCTTCACGCTATTAATATTTAGATGTGAAATAAGAGGTATTTTTAAATTCGCTTTTCTGAGGTTTTTGAGTTCATTCAAGTGATCTACATCTGTGTTTGTTGAGGTATTTATGTCATCTTGGAACGAGTGGTTATTATGTTCTTCATCGGGGTTTTGTTCAGAGACACAAGAAATAGTGGAGTTAAAGATGAGATCTTCTTGTTGGAATATAAGACTGTCATTAATGTTATTCATATTAAAACAGGTAGAAGTTGTTTCATGATTTATAGGTTGTTCAAGGTTCAATGTAGGTTCGATGTTTGTGTTCTGCTCACTTATATTTGGTTCAGTAAATCCATTTATACAATTTGTATCTTGTTTGTAAGCTGAATGTGTACCCAGCAAACACCTGACGTTGTTTCAACGTTGGATCAAAGTTGGATTTATGTCACGACGTCAAAATCCTAAATACAACGTTGAAACAACGTTGTATTTGCGACGTCGTATCAACGTGTTGGAATTACGTCGATAGGACGTCGGATTTCAGTGTAATCCAACATAGTAGTCTTGATTGAGTTACTTTCCTTTGTTCTGATTTATAAACCCGATAGGTGGCTCTAATTTCAGGTCAAGATAATCATTTGGAATTTTGTTATTCATTTTTTTTCACATCCATTGTATTTAAAAAAAAAACATTTGTTATACTAGACCATAAAAAGGAACAATATTAGTATTTTGATTAAATAAATTGAAAAAATAATGGAAACTTGATGAATTTCAAAACGAGGCTTCAACAAGAATTTGTTTTCAAATTCAAACAAAGACAAAGGAAGGACATTATACACATCATAGAAGACAACTCTCATAGTGAAAAGTAAGTGATATTTATGAAGGTAGATTAGTATTAAACTTACTGCATGCATAATATAATAACTGAAAAAATATTAGTTACATTAGGAATATAATTATATTTTCATGATATTCAATTATCTGAATTTCTTAACCAGTTAATTAATGAAGTCTGATTCGCCCTCATTTAACTCGTAATTTGGGATTCAATTGATATATCCCGATAAATTGTATGAAATTCTGTCATACATTTTGTTTTATTTGTGTTGTCATTTTAAGCCAAGATCCCTACATGACCTTAATCACTCTAATTCGATTTATCAGATTAGTAGACTAGATAACAATAGGTTTTTCACCACAACGTATTTGTTAACAAAGGAACACCTGTCAATATTTGAGATTTAATCTATTGTTATTCAAATAGATCTACATGTAAAAGGTCAAAGTAGGGATCTATCAACACATAAGTATACTGTCAAAGTAAATATATAACTTTTTGTCAATTTAATCATTGGATTTGTTTTTTTTATAGACTGACACTTATGTGTGATGACAATTAGCTGATTAGATTGTATACATGAAAAACAGTCAACAGAAAACACCATTTGAAGGACATCAAATTTAGGTAATATATGGATTTTGATTTTGTTATTTACTGTTATTTCTGTTTTGTCAAAATTAACTGTTAATCAAAAGTGAAACAATAACGTGAAATGGCTTATGGTTGAATTTGCACCTTTACATGATACAGTTTTGCAAATTACATATATTTGAAGTTACAGTTTTGAGTGTTTTAATTTATGATATGCTATAGGGTAATCTATGGGTAATAATATTTTAATTTAATGTAATTTAATTTACCATTTTGGTTGTTATGTACACCTATTTATTTCTGTTTCTTTTTTGCAGTTTCAAGGAAAGAAAAACAAGTTGAACCTCAAAACAAGTTTTTACATGATTATTTGACACACTGTCTTCATAGATGAAAATAATCAGGATTCAACGGTGGACGTTTAGTATACCAGAAATATTCACATGGAGGAGTATATCTCCAAATTTAATACTCTTAAGTTAGTTTTGAAAGAATAAAGATAAAAAATTAATTACTTTCTTTAAAAGTGAATATTTATTTATTGTTTTGTGTGTTACACTTAATTTTGACAGAAAGGAATATTTTCCCTCACTTATCCGATTTTATTCCTGATGAATTCAACTGTAAAAAAAGGTTTTATTTATTTTCCATGATTTCCATTTTCAAGGAGTTATTTAAAAGAAAACCTTTTTAAGCATGTTGTAAACATGAATACTTTTATTGACATATATTGTAATAGTTAATGTATACTGTAGACCTTTAAATGAAAATGATTTGTTGACTGTTGTTTGTTATAATTTTAGATTACATAATGTGTATTATCACACACCCGTGCCGATTTTGCGACTCCGTAAATATGGTATTGCACGGCCGTGCATATATTTCGACGTGACGTCATTAGCGTTATACAAACATAGTGTAAAGAGCGCTAAATGTTGGCGTTATACTATAGGCGCGTCAATGAAAATTTCACTTTAAACGGTCTTTATTTTGGGTATGTGATAAATAGAATATTAAATTCGTGTAAGTTCCATATTGAATTTATTGCACTCGTTAAATAAAATAATATTATGCTCGCCAGTGGCTCGCATAATATAATTTTATTCAACTCGTGCAATAAATTCAGTATGGAACTTACACTCATTCAATATCCTCTATTTATTGCATTGACTGAAAGACGTCTGATGAATGTTGAACTTCAATTTTGAAAAGACATGTAGCTCTTATTTTTTTTAAATTTTAATAGTTTATATACAATTTATAAATATCAAACTTTATATATTATCACTATAAATGATTAAAAGTGAGTCATTTTTGTGATGTTATACAAATGTGTTGGAAATATATTTTTACTGTATATATAAGTTTTTACAATAGATAAATCAAGAAAACTGTGTTATAATTTTGTTTAATTGTTTTTTATGATCCACTTTTTTAAAAAATAATAAAATAACTTTTCGGTATAGAAAGTTTTGTTTTTTTTTTTTGGGAATTATTTATGAAAACGGGTCAGATTTATGTTGGGAATTGGTTGAAATTACGTTGGAAACTAGTTGTATTACGTAAGTAACTGGTTGGAATCATGTTGGAAACTGGTTGGATTCACGTTGGGAAATATGTTGGAAAGTAGTTGTATATACGTTAAATAGAGGTTTGATTTATGTCATTTTATGACGTTGGATTGACGTCGGATTCTGACGTCTAAAAAACTTTCATATACAACTAAAATCCAACGTCTATCCAACGTCGGACTCTAACGTCTGAGCAACGTTGAAACAACGTCATGTGTTTGCTGGGTACATTTCTGGTTTATTGATACATCATTACATGTTTACATGGAGGATGAGAGAGAAAATCAAAAAATCATTGCGAGAAAAAAACAAAGAGAAAAGACATAAGTCTAACAAGCTAACATTATTTAATAATAACATAATATTTTTGCAAAAATATGGCAAGTTTCAAAAGGATATCCTATTTACTATGGTTCATTAATTTTCAAATTTTAAAGCGCTTGGACGTTCATAGAAATACTTCTCCAATTTTGCATAAAATGATCACGCAGTCTTAAGTTGACAGTATTCTTGAATGAAGCAGGAGATTCCACATTTTGATTTATACAAAAATGCGACAATCCAAGATCATTTAAATTATTTCGAACAAAACAGACCCAATCTGATTTAATATTATTCAGAGTATATAAATTATGAGTTGTTCTATATAGAGGAGTTTAACGCCGAAGAATTAAGGGGAGATCACTGTGTGGAGATTGATTGGGGGCGCAGTCTAAAACGCGGACGCCTTAAGCGGACAATATAAACATATAGGGAAAACGCTGACGATATAGACAAAGAGGAAAAAAGCGGACGATATAGATATATAGTGTAAAATGACTGAGCATAGTTAAATTCATATTAAAGGCTAATAATTGGCTTTTATAAAGTAATATCTGAAAGGTGTAATTATTATAATAATTAAAAAAGACTTTAGTTTATTTATTTTTGTTCAAATCTTAAATTTATGTTTTTTATTTGTTCATGTTAATTGACTTAATAACTTTTAATTTAAAAACAGTACAAAACAAGCAACAGTCACGTGCGGAAAACTGAATAAGGGCACAAGAAATAAGTTTGAATATATTTGAACATTTTGCAATTCGCAAAAAAATCCGCAATTCGCGGACATGATAAACATATAGGGCAAACGCTGACAATATAGACATAGAGGAAAAAAGCGGACGATATAGATATATAGTGTAGATTGACATTCTTTTCAAAATATACAATTTACTATGATTTGTAATTTACTTTTGTTTCTATATTGCACATTAATTGACATATTAGCCGAATCTTCTTCTGTGTACATATATAATTATGAAATCCCACCCAATAGTTAGCTCCCTTATGTAAACAAATATGGCGGACTCAGATGATAACTCGACTGAATACGAACAAATTCCATCGCATATTATTGTTCAGAAACAACTTCAAGACTTGATTGCCATCCAGAAGGCTCGGGTTGCAAGATTGGAACAAGATGTAATGATTTTTGATTGATTATCTTAATATTAGAAATATTCATGTAGCTACATCTTGTTGAATATGTGTTGTAACTTGCACTTTTGTACTGTTGCAAATTCACACATTACTACGAGTTGAGATATTGTACTATTTTATGTAGAATCAAGATTATGAGCAAAAAATTAATATATCTAAGAATCTAGCTTGGGCATGTCAAAATATTCTATTGATATATTGATATTGATAACTATTCGCCCCACTAACGATTGGCTCCATAACCACTCGCACCATTTTAGTGACGATTTGCCCTAGATAAGTGACGATTCTTCCTACTTCAAAACAGGGTCTTTCAAATAGAAAGGTCTGGAAACATTGCAAATCTATAAAATTTTTACTTTTAAAGTAAAACTGACCGAATAGTAACTTCGGTATATACCGTTTCGTAAAATACTGGTACTGGATTTGATACTTTTGTAATTTTGTAAAAAAATAATTTAATAGTCAATATGTCAAAAAATAAGAAGATTTTAAAATAAAAACAGCCTACAAACACGTAAAGCAAACTATGAATTACTGTTATCATGCGGCGAGTACGGCTTTCGCGGCAAAGTTGAAGTTTGGTGGACGCGGCGATATTTTTGTAAAGTATTGTGCCGACTTATGTTTCAAGATAATAATATTTTTTGTACTCGGCAGGAAATATTAAATCATTTAAAACTGATTTTGGTAAAAGTTTGTTTAAATGTTCAAAGAAACAACGAGAAAACATATCAAATACTTGAGTAATCATCGGCTCATCGCACACAGTCCTTCCAAACACATCGCACACAGCTTTTTGCTGTAATGACAAATGTAAAATCAACATATGACAATTTGTTAATTCAAACAATGCTTTTAAAAAATAATTAAATCCTTTTTTCAGTTTTATCTCTAAACACTCATAATGAATACATATTTAATGTTTTCCAGTTCTTTTCTTCCATTACCACATGTACAAATCCACACATTGAATTACGATTTTGAACATAAATGAGGCCGAAAATATTCCGACAAAATATGCCTCCTTTTGTTTTTAGTGTAACACTGAACTATTATTAAACATGTATAACATTTTTTTCTGAACAAAAGAATCGCTGACAGAACTTCAATCAAAGAAGAGTGTGAATGTCGGCGGCTCTTTGATGGTGATAGAGTTACAACATCAAAGGGAGGCATATTCTTTTTAATAGCCTATTATGCACCTGTCAAAGGTCAATTTGTGTGTCAATTTGTGTGTATTAAACATCTAGATCTTTGATACTTTAAACAACTGAAACATATTTCATATAGTGTTTTGTAGGATTTTTTGCAAATGTTGGCTAGTATTTTTTTGCGTATTTGAGCAGTATGGAAATTATGCAATTTGGTGAGGACAATACCCTTTTTTTCTGTAGCAGATGTTCATGGTGCATGCTATTGAAAAATAAAAGATGTATAAAATTGAAAAGTAAATTCAATATTAATAAATACCAAATCCTTATTATTTGTAAAGCATAGGTATTTGCTTTATGACTTCTACAAGGACTAATATTAGGTTAACATGAAAATGTAAACAAATCATTTTGGAAACAGTCTGTGCATATACATGTATTTCTAAATTAATTACTGGTGGAAAATATGTTTGTGCTGTTGTAGTTGAACAGACTGGAAACATAAGTGACTTTGAAAAAAACATCTAATGAAATGTCTTACATGTAATTCCAAATTGCAAAGTAAGCCAACCAATCCAGTGATATTATTTATTACAGTAAACAATAATGTGATTTAAAAAAGAATGTCAGCATCAGAATAAAATTTCTACACAGTAATAATAATAGCTGTAAGAAAATTATAGATAACCAACTGTCTTAAATTCTTTCAGATGTAGAGATATCAAGATTAAAACAATAATTTGTAGACTTCTCAGCTGCAGACTGCTGTCCTGCATAAGATATTTTTCTGTGTTTAAATTATGTCATGTTCTTTTGATGAAAAGTAAAAGTATTTTACAATTAACATGTGTAAATGTTATAAAAAAGAGTAAACACAAAACAACAAAACATGGAACTTGAGAAAAGTATACTTTACAGCATGAAATTTCAGAAAGACCAGTAATGTAACATATTTATTTTCTAGCACTACATGTTATATCTCTTCAGTTTTTATACTTGCAGCAAGGGTTTGATGTGGTATTGTAAAAGTATCAGTATCGATAACATACTCATATCGTTTCGTCAGTACCGGTAGCGTATCGGACCGTTTCGTGAAGAACGATATCCAACCCTAGTGCTATGCCATATCACGGTCAGTAGATAACCAAATCACATGACTCAATCGAGACAGCATTTTACGTAAAATTGGTCCGTCTCCAGACCATTCATTTTGAAAGACCCTGTTCAAAATAATGACTAGATACCTTATCATAACGAAGAAATGATAGGATTTAAAGTATATTTTGATTTGTTTTAAGAAGAGAAATATTCATTTTAACTATTTGGATATAGGTGAAAACGATTTGCACGAGTTCATACTACATCATAGCACGGATTTATATTACAGGGATCGGGCACTCCCAGTTAACCCTATATAAATGCTGTAATATCTTGTCGCTCACCCGATAAAGGTACACCGATCAATAATTTACCGGCGCTAAGCATAATTGCCCGTTCGCAATGGATACCTACTTTGCAAAATACAATATACATGTAGCTTTTCCATTTATTATCCAATTTTCGAAATTTAAAGTTTATTTTGAAGTAAAATACTTGTTTAATACAAATATCTAATTTGCTTTTTAAAGTGACAGACTTACAATAAACAAATTAAATTGACAAAATCCGCGGTAAATTGACAATTTTTATATAAAAAGCAGGTACTTGAAATTTATAACGGTAACATGATAAATTCAATTTCAAAATAAAAAATTGAACGATGTTAGTTATTCACAGATGATCAAAGATGCAATAATTAAGATTTATTAGGTGATGTTGTCAAGTTTATTGACGTACAATTGTTTTACAGGTAATGTATTACAGGCTTTACAATTCGCTCAACGCGCAAAGTAAATTTATTCAATTTTGTTGTACAAAATATTGCTGAGATTGTCAATATTGCCATATTCCATGTATTCATAGAATATTTAAATTTCTTTCATCATTTATTTCATTATTATTTTTTTGTAAATCTGTTTTAAAATGTCAGTGCAATGAAGTAGACAATCATTGTAATAGTAAAGTACTCTCGTGTGGCTTTCTCGATTCCGGCCTTCTTAATGTCACTTGTATATTTTAATTTTTCTTTTTATTTGAACGCCTGTAGAAAGATATTTCTAATATTTTTTAATGTAACGCTAGAAACAATAAAAATCTTTACAGTTTGAGTCAGTATTATCTGAAATAAAAGTAACTGTTAATTACCAGGTAACAAGACATACTAGTAATTGAATATCTTTATTTTCAAACTTTCATCACCAGGTTACATGGGGTAATTGCACTCAATCTTCAAAAACATATAGAACTTGAATGTATATTTTGTCTTTAACTAAAGTCTGTGGTATGACATAATAAGAGAATGATTCTGAAGAGGATATATATAAATACCACGTAAATCTATTTTCTTTACTTTATTGACATTTATTAATGAAATTGAAAATATACATCTAAATTTGTACAGTTCTTTCTTTGAAAAATAATGAAAAAGGAAAATATGGCAAATCATTTGACCTGAATTGTGAAGGATAACTATGAAAAAAAATCTGTTTTAAAATAAGAAAATGATATTATTAGACAGCTGTTCTGTATGCCAATAAAAGTTTTTCCTTGCCAATCTAATAAATTTATCTATATATGGAAGCTTGTCTTGAATGATCTGAAAATATATTAAAAGACTTATTAGTAGAATATTTACTATATTTATACTAATATTCAGGTAATCGAATAAAAAATGTACAAATCATTTAGAAATTATTCACAGAAATAAAAACAAATTTCAAACATGACTTTCTTTAAAAGTTTTTAAGCAATCAAGAAACAATTTTTTGCAACGCAACTGTTAAACCATGTAAAAAATAATGATATTAATCTGAATCACGGTAATAATTTGTGCTTGAAGAGAAAGGGCATCAAGTGTAGAGAGTATACCTAAACAATAGGCAAATATTTTTTAAATTAGGTACTTTTTAACTCGGCGTTGTAGCATTCTATCGGCATATTTTCATATAGTAATACTTTAGTGGCACAAAATAATACTGTATCAATACATTCATATGTGCATAATTTTGCACAAAGCTGCAATAACACCACATACTCTTGTAAAAATCTGCCATATTTTGCTCTCCACGCGTTCTGCCATCTTTCATTCTTTCCACCTTTATCTGATGTGCGATTCCGCGCAAGCGCGCGACAAGATTTTAACCTAAACGATAGTGTCCTCGTTAAATAAATCGGTGATCATAGCATACATAGAAATACTAGAAAATACCATTGTCATTTGAAATTACCATTAAAAACTTATTAGTCCCCTACCGGTTTAACCGGAGGGGACTTTAGGTTTACCCTCCGTCCGTCCGTCCGAGCAAACATTTGATTATTATGAGCTTCATTCCGTAGTTAAATAAAGAACAAAAACTCATAAAATTCAAATTAAGAGCTATTTTTTTGTTTTTATGAGCTTATTTTGCTTATGGACGTTGGTCCAGGTGGTGTTTATGAGCTGATTTGCCTCATAAACATCAAAAGTTGGTATGTCCATCCGTCTGTCCGTCCGCACTACCAAATAGGGATAGGGGGGCCATCTAACTGTAAACAGAACAAAAGAGAACAATAGAGCTCATTCCGTAACAATAGAGTAAGGGGCCATTGGCCCTCTATTAAACAATAGAAAATAACAAAAGAAATGGCCCCTTATTCCATTTCGGCCGGACGTCCGTCTGTCTGTCAGTCCGTCAGTCCACAAAACTGGATCCCACGATAACGCAAAAAGTACTGAAAATATTTTTATGA